AATTATGAATTGGACCTCAGCAACATTAAAAACCGTTGCTTGTCAAAACATCATTTAAAAAGATGCAGACTGGGAGAAAATATTTGCAATCCCATCAAAGGACTTGTATCCATGGTAAATAAAGGACTGGTACAATGAGTAAGAAGATAACCTATTTTTTAAATGGCCAAAATATTTTAATAGATACTTCATGAAAGATAATACTAGTATGTACAATGGAAAAATGCCTTCATCAGAGAAGTGCAAATTAAAACCACAATTTAATATCCTTCACCTACTAGAATGGCAAAACATTTAAAAACTGATAATACCAAGTGCTGGAGAGGTAGTGGAACAGGAACACAGTCATACATTGGTTGTTGGGAGTATATAATAGTATCACTTTGAAAAAGTTTGGTAGTTTCTTTAAGGTTAAACATAGACTTACTGATGGCCCAGAAATTCCACCTTTAGATATTTACTGAAAAGAAATAAGACTTGTACAGGACTGTTCAGAGTGCTTTATTTTTACTAGCGCCAAACTGCAAACAACCCAAGTATCCACCTCCAAGTTCATAGATAAACATTGTGGTTTACAGTGGAATACTCAGAAGTAAAAAATGAATGACTTCTACATACAACATAGATTAATCATAAAATCTTGCTAAGCCAAAGAAGGCAGACACAAAATAGGTACTTTGTAATTCCATTTATATGAAATTGAGCAACAGGCACAACTACTCTCTAGGAACAGAAAGCAGATCACTGGTTGACTGGGTCTAGGCATGGCAATAGGAAACTGACTACAAAGGAACAGAAGGGAACTCTTCAGCATAGAAGAAACATCCTGTATCATTGTGGTTGTGGTTAGATGGGTATGTACATTTTTCAAAACTTGTGTCAAAACTTAAAACAGGTGCATTTTACTGTATATAAAATATACCTCTATAAGTTGATTTTTAAAGTAAGATGAAGTATTCACTCTTTTCCCCCATACCAAAAATAATTATATTTTTAAAAGGAGGAGTAATTGCAAACATAATTTTTTGTACCGGTAAACTGAGCATGGGTTGAGCATCCCTAAGCTGAATATATGAAATCCAATATGCTCCAAAATCTGAAACTTTTTGAGTGCCTGTGTGATGCCACAAGTGGAAAATTCCACATATGACTTCACATGACAAGTCATAGTCAAAACACAGTCAAAACTTTGTTCCTTGGACAAATTATAAATATTGTATAAAATTACCTTCAGGCTGTGTGTATAAGGTATATATGAAACATAAATGGATTTCATGTTTAGACTTGGGTCTCTTCCCCTGCATATCTCATGTATATGCAAATATTCCAAAATCTAAATATCTGAAGCCTGAAACACTTCTGGTCTCTAGCATTTCAGATAAGAGATACTCAACCTGTAATTTATAGAGGTGGATCAGCAAAGGTGACTGCTTTGATTTTAAATGATCTGTACTTGGAGGTTTTCTTGTTTATAGAGATCTTGTTAGATTAAAGGTAACATCAGTGATACAGCTGTTTCCTTGATTTGTGTACTTTACATCAAGTGTTGTCTGTGAGATGTAGGCATTATCCCTTTACTGTAAATGGATGCATGGTCATTAACGTGTATGGATTTCAGATAACGAGGAGTTAGCATGTCTCATATTTGAACCTATTTCTTTTTTCTTGACTAAATATCAAATTTAGTACTTCACAGGTTATTTTAAGTCTCAAATGAAAGGCTCCTGGTGATATGGTCTAGGTTTTTTTTTTTTTAGATGATTACTTTCTGTAGTTGTTAATTATATTACTCCACTGATGGTTGGGCCTGTTGGCTCACGCCTGTAATCCCACCACCTTGGGAGGCCAAAGTGGGTGGGTTGCATGAGGTCAGGAGTTCAAGACCAGCCTGGCCAACGTGGTGAAACCCTGTCTCTACTAAAATAGAAAAATTAGCTGGGTGTGGTGGTGGGTACCTCTAATCCCAGCTGCTTGGAAGGCTGAGGCAGAATTGCTTGAACCCAGGAGGTGGAAGTTACAGTGAGCTGAGATCGCGCCACTGCACTCCAGCCTGGGTGACAGAGCAAGACTCCGTTTCAAAAAAAAAAAAATTAACTCCAGAGATGATACTTCATCGTACATCGCTAATTTGAAAGAAACTCAGGTCATAACTGCTACAGAAGTGACCTAGTTAATGGCAGTTATCATTGTGCTTTCAGAGAATTTCTACTTACAAGTATTTAACCACCAGCAAATATTTGAGTTCCACTTTTGGTTTAGGTACTGTAAATAATTAAAATCATCTTTTAAAAAGCATATGGATATAAAAGTAAATACTGTATAAAAAACTAAAAACTTTGTGAAACATAAATATAAAAGACAAAAAACAGATTGGGAAAAGTATTTGTGATAAATGTATTAATCCTGTCTGTATTATAGAAGAAATACATGTAGATAGCACAATTGAGATCCCAAAGACTAATATATGCAAAAGTAGGCACAGACTATTCACTGGATATTAAATGCAATCAGAAAACACACAGAATATTCTACACTGCCAACAATCAAATAAATGCACAGAAAAATATTACCAAGGTATTAAATTAGTTATTATTTACAAAAATAAAAAACATTCATCCAAGCCTTCCAACCATTTGTCAGGATGTACTCCCAAAGAATAAAATAGTTAAATGTAAAAGAAGAAACCATGAGACCTTTCTAACAAAGACTCAGAATTCAGAAAACGTGAAAGCAAAGGCTGATAAGAGAAATGAAAAACTGGGGATATTTGCTCTTTGTACCACAAAGGGCTAATCTCCCTAGTATTTAAAGAGTGCTTATGAAATGAAGGGAAAAAAAGAGATTAACCCAGTAGCCAAATGGCAAAAGACATGCAAAAATATATCACAGAGAAGGAACTAGACACCTCTTAAACACGAAAAGAGATTCAGCCTCACTTATAAGACAAAGGTATCATTTTTCGCCAAGCATATTGGCAAAAATCTATTAGGTTGGTGCAAAAGTAATTGGTTTTTGCCATTAAATTTATTTTGGAGCAAAAACTGCAGTTATTTTTGCACCAAACTGTAATGTAATAAAAGTCATTAACACTCAAAAAAGTAAAATCATGGCATTACTGTCTGTTGGTTTATTCTGATATAAAATAGTAAAAACTGACAGAAAAGGCAAGCAGGGTAAAAATAATAATAAAGGTTATAATGTAGGGCCCCAAGCAAGGCTGACTTTATATGTTAAGAGCTGGAAACAATCAGGTTGGTATGGGCAGGCAAGTTTAGGGAAAGCTTTATGAGAAGATGGAATGTATAAACCACGGATCCTGGTTTACCGTCAATGGGATGGTCAGACAAAGATATCCCTAGATTGTTGGTATGTTGCCTTATTAGTTTGTAGAATGTTTTTCTTTTACTTTTACTGGTGTCCATAACTACATGGTTTTATTTATTCATTTACATTACCTGTTTTTAGAACTCAGGAAAAAACACATTTTAGGGAGAAACCATGGACATTTAAACATGAAAGATGTTCACCTTATAGCTTCATCAAAGTAACGCTTCAGAATGTTTATTACATATGGCTTTTCCAAATTCACTATTTTGTTCCTTTTTTGATGACTGTGATGTACACACTTTTCTACTAGAGCAGTCTTATGCTTTACTGCACATATGTCTATTTTATTAGATAGCAAAGAAGTGGCCTTGCTATTGGCCCTTGGACAAACTAGTTCCAGTAATAATAATAAAAGTGAATGATCATATATTTTCTGACATTCTTTCAGTAAACTTATGTCCTTTTTCTACAAATAGATTTAACATTTAAATGTATCTAAATGCAGAGTTAATTTGGAGGTTTTTGGCAAATATTTGTACGTAAGACCTTCCAGAATCTTAAAATCGCTTATGTAAGTGAAATTCAAATTTTACATTCTTGTATACATTTACTTTTCAAGAAAGTAATTTGTGATTAAAAAAAGAGTTGCATTATCTCTTACTAAACCCGGTAGTGATATTTTTCTTCATAAAAGGTTTACAAGTAAAACCAGTCAAATTAGTGAAAATAAATTCCTTCCCCATATATAGATCATTTTGGTCTGGTCAATAATTCAACTGTCTTAGGTAACAAAACTGTAAAATAAAAACTTTTAAAAAGCAATTTTAAAGATTGTTTCTGGAAAGTAAGTTTTTTAGTTTACATTGAACAGATAGTAATAGGCAAATGTCTCATATTGCAGGCGGCTTTAAAAAAAAAAGCAACATATTCTGTTCTAAATATGATTGTCACTGAGTAGAAATCTTGTAATTTACCAGTTTATACATAGAACATTATAAGAGATAGTCTTTTCATTTAGGAGAAGGTCACCATCATTAATTTTACAACTGATGATTTTATAATAGGTCCTTCTGGTTCTTCATGGTCATTATTGAAGTATAATGCATTGAAGATATGGCCTGTACAAAGGCAGAACAGGGATCTTAATTAGAATTCTGACAAGCCCACTCCAATAAAATGATGAGATTATTTGTAATTGATGTCACAATCAATTACCATTTAGTTCATCATGAGCATTCTAATAGGTCTGGCCTTGGTATTGGCCCCAGGATGTTGCTGAGTGGCTGCCCTGCTTATGCTGTTATTGAGACATAAGGGCACATTTTCAGTCAGCATCCTAATGACCTCTTTTGAAGTCTATTAAATTAATGACCCTGTCACACTGTTTTGATCTCTTAACCTCAGTTTGGGGTTTGTATAACAAATTAATATTTGGGAACCATATGATGAAAAAAGATAGGTTTTTAAAAAAGTTGAAACCTTTGATATTTAGTAAAAGTTATTTTATTGTGCAAGAAATAAAAGCAAAAATGCAAGATTAGGATTTGTATCTATTCTATAAAAGAGAACCTTAGGACATTTCTCCCTACCTCTGAATGACATGCTTTTTAATTATAGTACCCAAATTAGGTTTTATCTTTTTTAAAGGGGCTGCATTTCTTCTCTAATTCTAGGTGCCAATGGGTCATGTTTGGTTAGAAGGTGATAATCTACAGAATTCTACAGATTCCAGATACTATGGACCTATTCCATATGGACTAATAAGAGGACGAATCTTCTTTAAGGTACCATTTTCTGCTTAAAATGTAAGGTTTATTTTCTGAGAAAAAAAGTTTCTCTCAAAATGATCTCTGAAATCTTCAGACTGTCAGTGTACTTAACTGTTGCACTGAATATATTTTATGAACCTGTTGGCTTTAACTTAATAGCCATATGCAGACTTATTCCTCCATTGCCCCGGCTCCCATAAAGATAATAATAAAATTCAAACTACCTTAGCTATAGCCTAAGAAAATTTTAATTTGAATTTCCAAAAATTCAGTTCTGTCTTGTACAACTCTTAAAACCATGTTCACATCCTGCGCAGGGCGTATTTTAATAAGCATGTGCAGAAGAATGGTCTGGATTCAAACTGCCTGTAATCTATGGATACCCCAGTTGAGTAGTATGAGTCAGTAGACTTATCGTGAATGTATGATTGTTAGGGAAGATTATTGTTTTCACTGGCCCCTCCTTTTTATCACAGTCAGTGAGGAGAAAAACATACATGAATACATGGAGCTGTTAGATAATTTACCAGATTGTTTACATTTAAACAGATGCCATATTCAAGTACTTAAATCTAAACCCCTTTGGTTGAAAGTATACAGTTAACTCTTATTTACCAGTAGTAAAAGAAAACACAGACCATATATTCATACATATGTATTCACACACCACACACATATAATTTCGTGTACAATGTTTGAATGTTCCAAACTTTGGAGTTTAAACATATATATACATAAGTTTATTTTCTCAAATCTTACTTTGATGTGGAAAATTTTATTCTTGATTGATGAGTAAGGAGAAAGTGTTTATCTGGCATAGAGAAAAGGGACGGATAGCAAAAGGGAATATGATAATACTGTAACATTACTTTCACTAATTGTCTTCAACCTCATTTTGGTTTTACAGATTTGGCCTCTGAGTGATTTTGGATTTTTACGTGCCAGCCCTAATGGCCACAGATTTTCTGATGATTAGTAATCATTTATTCTTTTGACTTGATTATTGTCTCCTTTTCATGTGAATTTATTACTCCCGTTGAAACCATGTACTAATAAACTATTTGCTATTCAGTTTTAGTTGTTTTTTATTGTTAAATGTAAAGAATATTCAACACACATTCTGTTAGTTCTGTTAGTTCAAAATATATAGATGAAAATGTAACCCAAAAAGGTCATCTAAATTTTATGATACAAAAATACTTAGGGAGGGGGAACCTGGATGACTACCTCACTTTTGAATTCTTGTTCTTATAGGTGTAATGAAACTAATCTATTCTTCTTAAATATGCCTCATACTTTAGCAGCTACATTTACAAGTCAGAGTAGTAACTATTCGTATTTATAAAAGTTCAACCTGACAATGCCAGGTTTGATAAAAAGCTGCTAGTCTACATGCTCAGCCCACTCATTTGAAATTAAGTAAAAATGTTTCTAAAGGATCCCTTAAAGTTCTTTAAATGAGTTCTGACTTCTATTGTACACAAAATATTAAATACATAGAAAAATGCATCTTTAAGTCATATGCCATCTATAGTTGGCTATAGTCAATAATACTTTATAAAAGTTCATTTCATCAGAGCAGCAGTGCCATGGCTCCATCTTCATAAATATAGGCATTAATACTACATCTGTTTTTTTTTTTTTTTTTGAGACAGAGTCTTGCTCTGTAGCCCAGGCTGCAGTGCAGTGGCACAACCTCTGCTCACTGCAGCCTCTCCCTCCTGGGTTCAGGCGATTCTTGTGCCTCAGCCTCCCGAGTAGCTAGGACCAGAGGCACGCACCAACATGACTGGCTAATTTTTTAAAAATTATTTTTAGTAAATATGGGGTTTCACCATGTTGGCCAGGCTGGTCTCGAACTCCTGACCAAAGGTGATCCGCCTGCCTTAGTCTCCCAAAGTGCTGGGATTACAGATGTGAGCCACCATGCCTGGCCCCAGTATTATATCTTAACACTCCAAAATAGAAAGAGAAATAATGCACCAATTTCAAATCATTATTTTTTAAAAAGCTTCTGGCCAGGCACGGTGGCTCACGCCTGCAATCCCAGCACTTTGGGAGGTTGACATGGGTGGATCATTTGAGGCCAAGAGTTTGAGACCAGCCTGGCCAACATGATGAAATCCTGTCTCTACTGACAAAACTTAGGCCAGGCATGGTGACTCACACCTGTAATCCTAGCACTTTGGGAGGTCGAGGCAGGTGGATCACCTGAGGTCAGGAGTTTGAGACCCGCCTGGCCAACATGGTGGAACCCCATCTCTACTAAAAATACAAGAATTAGCTGGGCATGGTGGTGGGCACATGTAATTCAGCTACTCGGGAGGCTAAGGCTGGAGAATCACTTGAACCCAGGAGACGGAGGTTACAGGGACCCGAGATCATGCCACTGTACTCCAGCTGGGGCAATGGAGTGAGACTCTTAGAAAAAGAAATAAAAATTAAAATTAAAAAATAAAGCTTCCATTTCCTAAATTACGTTTAAATTTGAAGATGGCAGTGTTTACAAGCTTTGGAAATACAGGGCCAAGATTGGAGTCAACACTTTCTATAGTTGCCACTTTGTCTTCATTAACTTTGAAATAACCTTATGAATATCCATAACCAGCCTTCCTTATGGGAGAACTGGCCTCACATTATTCACAAAGATTATAGGTGTACAACAGGCCTATAACTTTAGCAACTATAAACATTATCTGTTAGATCAGAAACTTATTAACTATAAAGGAATATGGTGATACTGTTGCCCACTCAAAAGAGGAGACATGCTCATATTAAGAAAATTCTTATTTTGTGTCATGGAAAAAAAAATGGCATCATAAAGTTCTCAGATAGAATTCACCAAATCAAATCTTTTTTTGTGACAACTTGTAAATATAAATTATAAATACAAATAAATAATTATATTCTCTATTAATCTGAGGTGGTCTCTGCTTGATAATTATATATTTTCTTTGCAAATAATAGGGCTGACAAAAAATCCATTTCCTTGAATGGACAAAGCCCAATGGCCTCTCCTCATCATGTCTCAATACCACAGTTAAAGCATTTCAAGTTGTGAACAATTTTAGTTATAATGAAGCAGTTCTATAATTAATGAACATGTATCACAAGAAATCAGGCTAACTTCTTCTGCGTCATCTTTGGAAACACTGTATTTTCCACCACATCTGCAACTCAGATAAAAAGAGTGATCATCTGCAAAAGAAAACAAAATAATGTTTCAAAGACTTGTAAGTAACTATCTCACTAATACCCTTAAAAGGTGCAGAGTTTATTCCATAGAAATTGTAAAACAAAACAAAGAAGCTCAGTAAAGATAAAATGTATTTAAAGGAGAACTAGATTTCTTGAAAAGGGCAATGTTTATAAAAATTACCTACCAAAGAATCTTTCTCTGTAGAGGAGAGGGATTGAAGCTATGAATTAAAAGTTCAAGGATTTTGGGAGGAGAGGGCATGCTCAGAAGCAACCCACGAAACTTAGTTGAAGTTTTCTGTTTTCTTAAAATTCATATAAATTTTACATTTTTTTCAACAATGTATTTGTCTAAAATATTACAGTGAAGGAAAAAGAAAAACAGCCCTACCTGTCTCACTGTTAGGGAAGATGATGCTTTTGCCTGAAGTCTATCCTTTAGAGAAAACCAGACTATTTATCAAGTGCAACATCTGGACACTTCTAGTGTCACACTATTTCAAGAATCTTAAGTCTATAAACACAACACCATGGTTTTTGGTTGTTTTTTTTTTAATCCTGTGGGGTATGTGTGTGTTTCTGTTTGTTTGATTTTTACAAATGACACATGAACCAACAAAATGCTGAAGTGAGATGCCCAAAGGAGGCAATACAGTGCAATACTTAGGCTCCTAATCGTGGAAATTTTAAGTGTGTCATTTTCCTGGGAAGTTGAAATGCTTGTGCCCTTTGACTTAAAAGAATCTCTGATCCATTGGTCATTCCATTTTACTGTCTCTGAGAAGTAACTGTCAAAGGAAAATAACTTATCAATGACATTATTTTACCACCATCATAATTGATTATTAGAAAATAAGTCTCAAAGGACTCATGATTTCATACTATCAAATATCTTCATTCAATTATCAAATTTGATTACATAGATCATATCATATGTAGTTTAAAAAAGCAAAATTCAACTGCCTTGTACCTGCTCTCTTACAAGTTCAGCCTTGGAAAAACTGGCAATTAAATAAGCTAACTTTATGTGTTTTCTTTTTTAATCAGTAAGGAAAATGAATTCATTCACCTAATCCAGCTTTTTTTTCTTTACCACAATGCCTTTGTTCTCCATACAGAAAAATAATTTAATCCTGAATTCAAAATGCAGACATCTTCCCTAAGCCAACATCTACGTACTAGAGCATATTCTGAAAGTGAATTTTTAAATTATTAAATTGTCTAAAAATGTACGTATTCTAACCATTGATTTTCCTAAGCTAAATCTCCCCCTACCCCCTTGTTTTTTTACCACCTCAGTGAACACTGGAAAACAATTTGAGTTGACATGTTCTTGGTAAATGACACAGAGGACACCATGGGCTACTGTGGAGTTTTGTCATAGATGACTCCAAATAATGCTCACTAAAAATTCACATCTTGTAAAAGTTCTGCTTATATTATTATTATTATACCATCAAGCTTTTAACCAGGTGATAACTTTCACAGAAACCATCATTTTAAATACTCTGAATGAAGGCCAACAAAATGACCAAGCCATATAACGACTAAGGGTGAAGATTAGCTTCAATATCTGCACAACTCACATACGCCTTTTAAGCATAATAAAAAGGATCATTTCATACTGCCCTTTGATCAGGCAACCAACAATTTGGCTGTGTCTATCCTATAGGATTTCATGAACTTTTCTCCTGTTTCAGATCTTCACTTTCCATAGCTATTCTGAAAATGAT